ACAGTTCCTACATGACTAACTAGAACCTTAGCAGAATTTGGAAGGTGAACAAACATGTCCTGAACTTGTGTGTGTTCAGTAAACAACTCTAAAGGACAGGCAATATGATCTGATGCCCCAGTGTCTAATATCCACAAGCTATTAGGTCTTTTAAAGTTAGAGTCTATAGCTGAAGATATCACATATTTACCTGAGTAATTTGGGAATGGAGGAAGATATTGTGAAACTGAGTAGGCTTGGTGTTGGATAGAGGGTGAGGTTGGAGGTGATGGTGAGGGAGTTTGGTTGGTAGGAGCTGGGTGATTAGCACCAAAATGCAGTAGATATCTCAACTTGTTCAGCTCTTCTGGAGTAAAATTAAGAGAGGGTGGACTTACCATGTTGCTCTCATTATGAAAACTTACTTCAGAAGATGACTCACTCCCACTGGAGTTGCTTTGAGACACTGATCCAACAAACTTGTGTGAACCAGGTTGAGAGTTTCCACCTTGCTCCTGCTCCCTACTCTTCCTCTTGTAAGTCCAACATTCTTCTATGTTGTGATTAGTCTTCTTGCAGAACTTGCAGTACTTCTTACCTTGACCCTTGTCAGTATTTTCTGTGGTCTTGGTGTTATCACCCTGAACTGCAAGAGCCACAGTTTGTGACTTCTTTCCTCCTCCTGAACCATTGGCCTTCAACTCCTGCTCATGCTGGAGTAGGTCATCCACTGCATCAGCTACTGTAGGTAGTGGTTTTAACATCAAAAGCTGTTTCTTCACTCCCTCATATTCTGGATTCAGACCTCGTAGAAACCTGATTAAGTAATCAGTTTCCTGCTTCCTGTTGTAAGCAGTCACAGCAGTACAAGGATTGGGATTTCCTGGGATGCAGTTACACTCCACAACAGGGCTAAATTCTGTATACTCATCCCATAATCCTTTGATCAAGGTGTAGTATTGGGTGATAGTCATAGTTCCTTGCTTGCACCTGTGAATTTCATCCTCTAAGTTTGTCAACCTATTGGCATTTAGCTGACCAAACCTACGATGAAGTTCATCCCACAGAGTTTTAGCATTTTCATGACTCATAACAGATCTCTTTATATCCTTCTGTAAAGAGTTCAAAATCCAGGTTACAACTGCAATGTTGCAACTATCCCATAAGAAATAGCTTGGATCGTTTCTGGCTGGAATCGCCATGGACCCTTCGATGAAACCCAGCTTGTGCTTCATCTTCAAAGCTTTCTTCATGGATCTACTCCACATGGAGTAGTTGTTCCCATCGAGTGCCTCAGAAACGATGGGTTGTGTGAAATTTTCATTTGGGTTCAAGTAAAGTGGGTTACCAAAAGTGATGATGCTGCTGTTGCCAGATTGATCGCCACCATTAGATCCCATTTGAACACCAGATGTGTTGAAGACGTCGGCCGCACTCTGCGTCTCGCCGGTGAACGGCGATGCTTCGTGCCCAGCCATCCCGTCGCGGAACCTGGCCTAGAACGGCCGCTCTGATACCATGAGAAGTTTCTAGGTTTAGATTGAGATGTGCGAGAAATGTACAGGCAGCTATCTTGCTGCTCTGTTCTTTTGTATTGATCTTCTGCAATTAGGATTACAGCTGATTGCCACGTGTCTCACTCACGTTGGCTATGTTTAAAGTGTAAACAGTACTTAACGGCTAATAACTCTAAATAAAATGGTGTCGCAGCACCTCAAGAGTTTTCTGCCTATTCTAGGAAACGTCTCCATAACAGAAACGTTTTTCCTCCTTTGGACTCTGTTCGAATCTTCTTCTTCCTCTGCAATCCTGATCAGTCTCGGATTACATTTCTGTCAGATCGAGATAGCAATCTGGGCTGAGAGGAACTTGAGATTGGAGTAAGCTATTATCCTCCATAGATAGATTAACCTGGTGATCTTAATCGAAAGGTTCAAAGAGGTGGCTATTTGAGGTGAGTAGTTGATTGGTTCGGGGAAGAAAAGGGAGGGAATCTTTGGCTCTAGGATTTGAGGATTGGGGAACAAAGGAGATGACGAAGCGGTTTAGGTTTGGTTGAGGAAGCAGGGAGATGGTTGATGAAGTGGTTGATTGAGGGTGTATAATTAATGAGGGAATGGAGAAATGATTCTGAAATGGGAAGGCCAATGGCATGGAGTTGAGAATCCGAGCTAAGGTTGAGATTTGGATCGCTTGGGGCCGAATTAGGGTGAGGTGGGCTTGATCGGTTGCACAAGGAGAGCATACAAGGGGTGCTTCTGAAGTGTCAGGCTGCAAGGATGGGCTTGAGGTGGAAGAGCTATAAGGCCCAAGCCAAATAGGCTCTTCTTTGCGGATCCAGATTCTTTTGAACGCTCTGCTAGACTATTTGGCTCTCTTGCTTTTCCCCGCGCTTTTAGCACGAAAAAATCGCCCAATGGGTTGAAAGAGTTATCTTGAGACGTTGTGATTTCCCATAATCGAGGAGTGTGGCTCTTTGATTTCTGATCAGGTCGGGCAATGAATGCAGCCTCGTCGGAGTTTCTATGGGTTGCCGGCGGTGAAACAACGTTGATCATGAAACGGTCGGAGGCAAACTTAATTGGAATCGAATGAGGAATCGTACCTCTGCTTCTAATTCTTATCCGAACAAACTGTAAGCTCCAAGATGTCCAGTCGATTTCAATGAACGATCCACAAAAATTCCCAATAGTCTTCATTAAGTTTATGCTTTTTAGATGAAGAGGAACGCCATAGACAAGAATCCAAGTATCCGAGGAGCTGGGAACCACTTCATGTTCTTTCCATTCGGAAACAGAGACTAAGAAATTCCTGAATTTGTAAAGTCCGAGCCTTTTAATCCGCAGAGCTTGAGAGATGCTTGGGCAAATAAGAAGTCAGCTTCCATCTCCTCTGTTTTCTAGACCATAATTGTTGTCAATTGACCAGAACTTATTAGCCCAATCTCTGAAGCCATGGATATCTTCCATCAAGAAAGTTTCAGAGTCATCAGAAGACTAGAATTTGATGATTAGACATCTACCCAGTAATTCACGTCTGTCTTGGACGCCCTCTGTGTCCATATCGATGTAACTCTCTTTACCCTGACCAATAATTCTGCATTTACCAGCAACATAGAAGCCCCCACCTTTAACCACTTCTGCATACGATCTAGAAATAGCATTGGGTTTAGCTTGCCATGGTGGTGGAGGAATATGGAGTTTGTTGGGCTTAAAGGAGGACCAGATACGTTCTTGAAGCTCGGCTGCATAAAAACGTTGAAGCAAATTAGTGATTTTTGCCCACCCGCCAACCGACGGTATCAGAATCTTATGGACTCTTCCGTTCATCCTCTGTTCAGAAATCTGGAGCTGCTGAATATTCTAAAAGGAGGCTTTTCCAACATGAATGATTCGCCCGCCTCTTCTTAGCATACAGTTTTGAGGGAAAAAGCAATCTTTCATTGCCGCTGATTGAAGTAAACCTTGTAACCAAGAAATCTTAGTTTCATCCATGAATATGAACCATCTTTTTTGTGAGTCCTGGGCTTGAATTCGATACACCACTTCTTGTCTATTTCTGTTGATCTTAGAAATGGTAATGATCTTCGAGCCAAATCTCTCCTTCTGCTCACATGAACCCTTCGAATCGCTGCTACTGCTACTTCCTGCTGCATCAGACCTGCAAAACAAAAAACCGTCGGTCTCCCCTTCACTCACTGAATCTCTCTCTCTAGACACTTTTTGTCAGAAAAGCTTGTGCCTTGTGTCAATTGAGTCCGACCGATTGTCGTTTGAAAAATATGAGTTTAAATTTATAGATTGTCAACAATCTAAAGATTCTAACTTTTCGGAGTGTTGAAAATAGACTTTAAAATGTTTACTGTTTGGTAAATGTGATTGTTAACATTCAATGGAAATAAAAATAAAAATTTTATATTAAATCATGTGTTTATCCTTAATAAAAAAAAATTAGAGTGGTTCGAGAAATATTAAAAAATTTATTGATATATTATATTTAATATGATAAATAAATAAAAGTAGGAGAAAAAGTAGGAGAAAAAAATGTCACGAATCAAGATATAGAATCTCTCTAATGATGAGAGATTTGATATCTGTAAATTTTAGATATTTGAAATCTTTAAAGTTAAAATCCACAATACAAAGAGCAACAAAAAAAATATAACTTTTTACAAAATCTACGGATTCAATGAATCCACGCTGCAAATCCGTTCTCCAAACGACCTCTAAGAGTGAGCCATTTTGTGGAGTCACGGGGGTTTGTGTCTGTTGATTGACTCTAGAGTTTAATGCATTGTTCTTGAGTTTTGGATTTTCTACCAAAAGAATAAGACTGGCAATTTAATCTGCCCTCAATTTTGAGCTTTTTTCAAATAAATCATCAAAGCGAGAACGACATATTTTGCCAACACAAACAAAAATGTCGAAGGATTTACGTTTAAGAGATTTGAGTCATGATAATGAAGGAGTAGGGACCAAAGTCTTATGATCTGCTACTATATTTCTTAAATTTGTTACAAATTTGACACATAGTTTCTAGCTATATTTTGAAGTTGAGGGCGTCGCTTGGTCTCAATGTGACTCCTTCCACTAATCATCCATGTCTTATCATGGGTTTAATAATAACCTTATCATGCGTGGAAGTTGGAACCGATTCCAAATTCAATACAAGAGTAACATTTCTTGCAAAGAAAGTGAACAAGTGATGACTAAAGGTATTGGTGACCATTGGAAGCGATCTTTGCCTCGCTGTAATTCACGGCTACCATTTTGTACCCAATAATCGGCAAAGGTCCATCTCAACCTTCGACTGCCAATTATGGTTGCCACTGCTGCTTTTTTGCAACCAATAGGAAGAGTCGTCGTTTTTGCACCCATAGTTGGTTCCTAACGAATAAATCTTCTATCGAAACATAAACCGATGGGCTGTTTTTAGCAATGTGAAACTGTTGAACCACAGTTTCAGCATACTATCCTTGAAAAAGGCCTCATAAACAGAGTTCTGATTTCTGAAACTGTCATCAACAATAGGCAATAGCAACCATTTTCCTCTTAAGGTTGTCGATATCGACAGCCCAATGTAAATCAATAAAGCTCTCAGTTAAAGGGGAACGGTACTTCAACGGTAAGGCGTCAAAACTCACACAAAAGATATTACAGATGTTTGGTCAAGAATCCAAAAGCAGGGGGGGAATGTAAAGGATTCAAATAATTACATCAAAGCACTTGAAACAAACGACACATCAGTATGGCTCCTTCTTCAGTGTATTCTATTCCCCCGCTCTTACTTTGTGGCCTGAGCAATTATGTTGCTCAAGGAGCTTGCCTCCTCCTTTGCAACCTCTACCAGATTGTCCTGCAGCATGACAAAAACATCATCGATCTCAGGCAATAACGACGAGAAACACTACTGCTTTCTAGACATGTGGAGATTATATGATACAGACCTGTGCGGATATTAGCTTGGCAATTGTTCTTTTGCTCGATTCCTGGAGTTCGCCGGCAATTAGAAGCTCGTCCAATATGTAATAGGCCTGCGGTATCACGACATAAAGAATGTATATCAGCCTCACGAAGTTGTCAAAACACGCCTCTACAATTTTGGCTGCGAAGCAAGCAAGCATACCTTGTGAAAGTTGAAGATCAAATCCAGCTCACAGACCTGCAGAACATGAGCAACAAATGAACAAACAATTAACCCAGCTTTCAGCACATAATGAACGGTCATGAGGAGTAACAACACTTACTAAGTTCACTTACACTGCCAAAGTATCTGTCCAATATCTCAACGAAATGGTGAATAACTTCAAGGGCCTCTAACTCGTTGTCCTCCTCATCGATGCATATGCAGAAATAGAGGCTAGCATACCTGCAACACAGCAAAGTTCATGAGCTTGAAATTGGTAAAACACACCCTGAAACAGAGTCTTAAGGCGGAGATTTTTATTCATGGAGTTTTGAACCACCTTTTGTAAACCACTTTATGTCCTTTCCAGTCGACAAAATTGCAGAGCTTGGGCCCTCGGCTTAGAATCACTCCACTAAGCTCACGGATGGCCTTTTCGAATACCAACGATATCAACAAAATAAAAATTTAGGAAAGTGCATGAGAAAACAAATACAGTTGCAGTGTTTACATAGTCTTCTAAGCTACCTTGGATCGTTCTTTCTGTGAATAAGTTGAATACCATTTTGTCAACCGCACCTTGCCTTGCCGACTAATAAGACACACAAAGTTAATCTGGGATGAAACAGAAAGAATCACACTGTTAAGTTCCTTGCATACCGTATAATGCATGGAAGGAATGCTCCAGCCCACTGTTCTACAAAACATGACCATTTCACAACACCAAAGACTCTTCCTTTCACACCCTTGTCAGAGTTTGAGAGCAAGACAACCCAGCAATTCATTTGTAATATAACCCAGAATCCTGCTCAGATCAGCAACCATAGATAAACTACAAACTATTTTTTGCAACAACGCCTCGTTCTTTCTTGCAAAACCAAATCTGATCTTGTACAAAAACTAATTGCACTTGCACAATATCAAACTGACAGATCCCATGAAAACCTCCCCAATCCCCAAAATGGACCAGCAACCAGATCGTAGCATATCGACATTGGCAAAGTAAGTAAAGCTAGAAACTGGCCTCCAACAGATCCCGAATATGCTCTAACCACACTAAGGCTAAGTTCGATTTGTCAACAGTCTACCATCACTCATCCAGGTGTACAGAGGAAGGAAGCAGACGAAACTTTGTCCAAGCTTACAAACATACCAAACGAAAGCAAACAAAAACCAGATCAAGCACGAAAACCAAACAAAAACAGAATGAAAGTTTCAAAATCAACTCAACTCGTTTCCCGATCCTTCAAATTTTTCCTAGCTACCAAACAAAGCAAAGCAAATCGGGAAATGAGAACCAACACAATCGAAATCCAGTAAATTCAATCTAACTCCGGGACTCCACAGCAGCATTCCCGGTTCGAATCAAATACAGCAGGTCAAGTTAAGCAGATCCAAGCAAAGCAAAATGCGAAGAACAGAAGCTCGAAATCATCGACCAAAAGGGAAACAAAAAGGTGCGTTCGCGTGCCCAGACTGAGTGTTAACAAAATCAAGGAGTTCGATGAGGCGGCGGATTGTTACCATGATTCACGACGGAGCTGACTGTAAGCACCGGCGGTTGCGCGACGGGAGTCCAACGAGAGAGAATGGTAACGAGCGGAGATCTCGCTTCTGTGCGGAGGAGAAGGAAAATGCGTTAGAAAGTAAAAAGCCACCTGTTTCTTCGAGAGAGCTGGGCCGGGGTATCAGGTCTGGTCAGGCTTGGGCCCGAATCACTCGGGTTAAGATTTTGTTAAGCCCAAGCAGAATAGCTCAATATGGCACAGGCATACGGCCCCTCCCAAGCTTTCTTGTCTATCTCTATGAAGAAAGGAATTTCTAATCATTCTTCAAAGCGAGTATAATCCAAGCTTATCTTTCTGTTATATGTTTGATACAAATGGAAATCGTTTGGTACCAAATGAATCGTGAATTCATTTCATTTTAAAATGAATAATCGTGTAGAATTCATTATCAAATAAATTCCTATGTTTGGTGTCTTATATTCGAATCTTTAGAAATAAATGCCAAAACCATGTTGGCACACGTTTAGAATTGAATTAAATAAAAAGTTTTCAACTACATCCTTATTAATTTTCGGCAGAAACAATATTCATTGAAAATCTATCTTTTAAAAAACACTTTTGGTTCCATATGTTGAATATCAAAAGTGTGATTGTGTTTTTCTATTCTATTCATTAGTTATTTCCTAATATTTAATCGATGAACCCTATACTCTAGTTGTGCCTTCTCAACATATTGATACAATCGAAGCATAAATATCAAATAACCAGCATATACAACTAGCGTTGCAATCAAATTATTGCTAACGTTTCTCATACGGCATGAATTGGTGCTACATAATATGTGTAGAAGTAATTTAGTTAATAAATGAAGATAATTTTCTCATTCTATTATAATTAGTAAATACTTGTAGAATTCATTTGAAAATTCCATCTCAATTCCTCGAAATTGCTATAACTAGTTCCAATTCCGTAGAATTCAAATTTTATAATTGAAATGAATTCTTTTAAATACCAAACAAAAAAAGCTTTCATTTTCAAAAGAATTCATCAAAACTTATGAAATTTATTTATACCAAACAGTATGTTAAAATCACATTATTGCACATGTTTTATGTGTTTTAAACTATCATTTTTTCGTATTATGATTGAAATCTCACTATATACATAAAATGCTTTTAAAAATATATGTAAAATGTTTGATGCACGTATTTAGGTGTTTCTTAGCAATCATGCCAACTGATTTCTAGAACAAATCCATGCGTAACTTGCTTTTTTATATTTTCTAACAATTCTTACGTACATAGAAAAATTTTAATAATTCAATACCGTTGTTGGCTTGTTGCAAACAAATACTAAATTGAGGCATTATGTGAACTCTTCTAATCACATGCCAAATACATGATTAAATTAATGTATTTTCTACAATACATACTTGTCGAATTGTTATTGATGAACTTTAATTGAAATTTAATAGTCAATAACAACTTTTTCTACAACTGTTGTCGTCGGTAAGTTGGAGTCCATAAGTTTCTCTTCAGCAAATTGATTTTTGGTATTGTGCACCGATGCAAACTGAGCGGTGTTTGAGGATTTATGTTGCTGCTCCTAAAAAAAGGCGTGATGTTACTATATTTTTCATCATCGCTACTCATTATCACAATGAAAGAAAATATGGTAACCTGAATGTTATCTCTTATCAGAACTCTTATACCGCGAACAACTCGATAGTGCACAAAAACAAAAGAACACGAGGAACAAACGTGGTTCGACCTTGTGGTGTGCTATTGTTTGTGTAGTTGATTTTATATCATAGACTTATAGCCTTTTCACTCAGATTTCTTGTTCATGATGCTTAGTTCCAAATATTGCTTTATTCATCTTCCGATCAAGACCACCATCTCACAATCTCAAAACACACAAACAAGGAAGAGTACACTTTCATTTCCCCCAACTCAACCACCAAACACCCACCCTCCTTCAATCATCAGCAACCTTAACAACCTGCTTCCCGACATTACGGCCATAGAACAGCCCAACCAGAGCAGCAGGAGCATTGTCCAAGCCTTCAGCCGTGTCTTCCACGTAAACAATCTTCCCTTCCTTGATCTTGGGCACGACCATCTCCAGGTACTTCGGGTACAGATGGTAGTGGTCACTGACTATGAACCCTTCCATCCGAATTCGATTCATGATCAAGCTCGCCAAGTTGTGAACTCCTTCAGGGCTCTCCAGGTTATACTGAGAGATCATCCCACAGACAGCAATCCGGCCCCGGAGCCTCATGTTCCCTAGCACGGCATCCAGCATCTTCCCTCCGACGTTCTCAAAGTAGATGTCGATTCCCTGAGGGAAGTACCTGCAGATTACAACAAGCATTGCCCATGTTCAAGGTTGGAAGTTGGTAGACAAAGCTGTAGATTGTATTTGTAGTAGTATACAGTACATAAAGAACTGACCTTTTCAGTGCAGCGGCCAAGTCCTGCTCCTCTTTGTAGTTGAAAGCTTCGTCGAATCCGAACTTGTTCTTCAACAGATCAACCTTTTGCCCCCCATTTGTAAAGAAATCAACTTTTCATCAGTTCATGAGCACGGCTTGGTGTGAAAGCCAAGAAAGCAGAACACAATCAAGCAGTGTATATGATGCAAAGGGATATTATACAATGGGATGTTTTTCACATTCAATCTACACCTTAGGTTCGAATCTCGGGGCTAACTTTACCGAAAAAATCGAAAAAGAACTCACCTTTTCTTGACTTCCTGCACTTCCAACGACATAGCAGCCAGCCAGTTTTGCAAACTGCCCAACAAGCTGACCAACTGCGCCTGAAGCTGCTGAAACATACACATACTCTCCCTTCTTAGGGGAGCAGAGCTCGTACAGTCCAACATAGGCAGTCATTCCAGGCATACCTGAAAGAAGTGTCACCAAATTCACAGACACATTCAAGTTGCAGGCAGCAGTGATCATATTGATTCGACATGACGAGAGATCTTTCGTCGAAACTAAACTACAACCATCATCGTGACCACCAACTCAACCATAGAGAAAGGTGATTCAAGATACGCAATCAGACCGACATCCCCTCATAAGTGCTATTCTCCACAATGACAACTATAGCCAGATCAAGGATCATACTTATTTTGAACATTCAGAGAACATAGCTAAGCTACCAGCCTACCACAGTTGGTCCATCCACTGTACTAGAATTAGAATCAACTAGGTGATCATAATAAAACAGACTGCAATGTGACAAAAAGGGGAAATTCAATTCAACATACCAAGAATCCCAGTGTAATAGGAGAGTGGTACATCTTTGTGCTGAATCTTGAAGAGTTGACCAGGTTCTGTACTCACAGTGTACTCTTCCCACCCTGTTGACCCCCACACCAGATCACCCTTCTCAAAATTTGGATGCCCTGATTCCAAAACCTTCGCCACTCCATATCCACTCAATGGCTACCACACCCAAAACAAACAAAATTAAAACTTGCCCATAAGCCAACCACAGTAATGGAACAGTATAAAACCCCAAGGACAGAGTGAGAGAGAGAGAAGGGGACTGACTGATCCTGGCTGAAAGGCACCGACGTAGGAGCCAGAGGAATTCCTCATACGAGGGCGCATGTAAGGGTCGCAGGAGAGGTAGAGATTCTTCAGCAGGACGCCGGCGGCGGCGGATTCGGGGAGTTTGAGGTTGATTTCCCCGACGGCTATTGACATGTCGGATTCCTTCGGGAAGCCTGAAACGTAGTTGTTGAAAATCACTTGCTTGTTGCTCACTGTCACAGCAACCTGGCCTTCTTCTGCCGCCATTCTTTCCTTGATTTTGATTTCCTTTTTTTCTTTCTGATTCTTCAGTATGGAGCGATTGATGATCAAACAGATTCTGCAGTTTGACTATATATACTACTGTGCCGAGCTCTGCCCGCGGAGAAGGCGATGCTTTTGAAAGAAAAGAAACAAAGGAAGAGAACCCACGAAGGAAAAGACTGATTAAGACCTGGGAAAACGACCCGATTGGTAAGAGAAAGACACTTCCCTTTTTTATTTGTTTATGCAGAAAGGCAGTTCCTTTGGCACTGTCAGTATAATTTTGTTTTTCCACCCAAAAAAAAGAGCTAAATTTCATTAAGGTGCTTTATTGGCCGGCGAGGTGTAACAAGATGACAGATTAGAATTAGATTGCGAATACTGTACATACATGCGAAACTTGGAGGAAGAATCCGGTCACTGCTTACAAAGAAACCAAACGGCAAAGAGAACTCTGACTACTCTCCCCCACCCGCTGAAACCAAGGGGGAAGCCTTGTTCGTCGTAACTCTAATTTTTCTTGTTCGGTTTCTAACATCGTTTACAAACAGAACAAGTCAGGTATATGGTATTCTGTATGATAACGACACTGTAGTATGATTTGAACAAGTGATCGGTCTTTTTTATCCAAATTCGGTAACTTCTTCGTCAATCATACCAAGTTCCCCTGCCATTGGATTTTTAGGACTCGAGTTTGGTGACGGACTACTGAGCCGAGCTTCCATGGAGTGTAAGAAGGAGGATTCTTCATGGTTTCAAGTTGGTTCGAGAAATGTGTAGCATGAGTTACAGAAGGGTTTTTCCTTTGAGACTGTGGCACTGTTCTGGTTTGCTGCACTTTCAGCTGCCACCTTGTTGCTAATATCTCAAAGTATTCATTCATTTGCAGAGAAACCATATTCTGACATGAAATTGCATTTCAATCAACATTCATCTATTCAAAGTATAAAAGAACAGTGGTCTTTTTTTAGTTGATATAGCCTTATTAGTATGAAACGCCTGATTATTCCATTTCTGAGACAGAATGCTGCTGACAGGGTTGTGCTGAGATGATCATGGTAACATATTTCAAACTCTGGTTCTTGTTCGAATAAGAACCCTTCACAATTTGCTTGTATGAGAGGAACCTCCTGAAGAAGCACAACGAGGGGAAAAAGAAAGTGACAAGGCTTGCTAAAAAACCCCTGATAGAATTGTCGTTCGAACCGAAATCACAATCAAATGTACAGGCTTTCAAAGGGTGGTAGTAGAGTAGACTGAATCACAGGTCTGAACAGTTCATATGATATCACACACATCCGTTTATTTATAATCTCTTAGCTATAGCCTTGTTGATACAAGAAGATGATACATTAAGAAACTACACAAGTCTGGTAATTGAGGATGATCAGAAGCTGCAGCAAATTTTCACCTAGGAAATCTTCACACTATTTATCCACCAGTTTTTTTCTGTTTTTCTCGCTTCGATCGGAATGATAATGGCGGAGATGATGACTATGGGGGAGATGCTAAAGTTACTAACCCATGGTGTAAGATGGGGAGGGCAAGTTGATGACTGTGGTCTTCACTTTGATCATCATGTTGATGCTGTTGGTGATTCCCTGTGATCCAATCCCACTGTCTTTCAAACCCTGTTGTAACCAATCGAAATGAGCCATTAATCGACAGCAACACGAATAATCGAAAAGAACAGGTTCTTGACAGACAGAATTTCCTGAGCCCAACCTGGAAGGGGAAATGGTCTGGCCCACGAGCTGGCGCGGAGTTGATCTGAACCGTTCCAGTCTCCATCGCGTCACTGATCAACATTGCCTTGTTGATGTCCTTTGTGAACACACATCCCTGTTGGTGTTTTTCAATGTGGTTAGTGATTCAGAACTGATGCAGTATTGATGAAGGTGTGAAAATGGATTGCAGGGAATCAGGTTGAGGGTCAATCGGATTACGAGTTGAACTTGTTGGTCAGGTTGATCAGGTAAGGCCAAATTTTACACCACTATACATTGACTAGTGAACAAGGTTTCAGAATTTTTCAAAAAGGTTGATCATCATGGGGTCTGGTTAAGTTTTACCTGAAGGCCAAAGTTGCTGGCATTGCAATGGTGGATACCTTCCTCGACCGAATTGATCCTGATCACCGGAAGCACAGGCCCGAATGGCTCCTCCCAAGCGATCCTCATATCGGGTCTCACATTGTCCAACAACAACGGCCATATGAGGTTTCCCTCCCTTTTGTACTCCTGACAAAATGTAGCACCTTTCTCCTTGGCATCCATCACCAGCCCTTCAATGAAATTGGCCGACGATTCGGTCACCACAGGGGTAATGTCACAGTCATCCTCCGGTGGACCGATTCTCAGCTTCGCCACCCTGGCTTTGACCTTCTCGACGAGGGAATCTGCTACAGATTCCATGGCCAGGACCACCTTGATCGCGGTGCACCTCTGGCCACTGTATGAAAACCCTCCCTTGATTATGTTGGCAGCTACCAGGTCGAGATCAGCATCTTCGAGCACAATGCAGGCGTCTTTGCCTCCCAATTCCATCTGGAGTGGGATCATTCCCGCCTTTTTCGAGATCGCTATCCCGGTGTCACCTCCAGTGAAGCTGAGACAATGAATGTAGTAGCAGATCAGAGAAATGATTATCATTAAGATCATTAGATCACAAATTGGTTGTTCAATGACTTACCTGATGCAGTTGACGCCAGGGTGCATGGTGAGGAAGTCGCCGATTTCGGAGCCCTTGCCAGTGACACAGTTGATTAGGCCTTTAGGGAAACCAGCCAAGTGGAAGCAGTGAACCATGTGGAGGCATGAGACAGCTCCCTGAAAGAATGGAACTTCGTGCTTGAGAGTCAAGAAATGGAAATGCAGACAAAGTTCAGGTTATGATTTTGATCATAGGAAAGAACCTGAGTTGGAGGCTTGAGGACAAGGGAGTTGCCAGCGATCAATGCCGGCCCGATCTTGGAGACAGCGAGGTTCACCGGGTAGTTGAAAGGTGGGATTGCTAGAACTACCCCTAGAGGAATCTGCAGCATTTCAAGCCAAACCCAGTAAAGCTCGCATTGCAAAAATTGCCAAGGGAAAGAACTAGCAATGTCAATAGCTCAATTAAGCACTCTTCATCAGATCAAATTCCAAACAGCCATGGTAAAAGAAACTAGCTTATATCACTTGTTCCACAAGCAAGGTCAGATCTTTTTATCAGAATCATTTCGTCCTCATTTTCTCCTAGTTGTTACGAGGTTGTCAGGATTGGAACAAAAGACCTCTCGAATATACAAAAGCCTATGATATCATATCCAGAACTACTTCATTTCATCTCAAAATTGTCACATGCAAGAACCAAGAAATCAAACCTTGGAAGTGAGGCAGTACTTGGTCCTCTCATTCCCAGGAAAGCTATCAGACACCAAGAACTTGCCTTCTCCAAGAATCCTGACTCCCTCTTCAGCAGTGTAGGAAACCAGATCCCCTGACCTCACAACCTTCCCACCATAAAAAAAAACCCCCCATTAACATCTCCATGCACCAACCAAATAAAGAATCAATCTTTAAATTCCAAACCCATTAATCAAACATTTACCTCAGTAACAGCATCTTTAGCAGGCTTGGCAATTTCTTTGACAAGGCACTCAGCAATGGGGAACTTGTGCTCTTTCAAGATGGCAGCAGCCTTGTGAAGAAGCTCAGCTCTCTTCCACAAAGGTGTCTTGGCCCATGCCTTCTGCGCGCTCTTCGCCGACTCCATCACCTTGTTCACTTCCTCCTGCGAACATGCTGCAAGAAAAAAAAATTCCCCAACAAGTTAACAATTCCTGCAGAGACACACACAGCAAGCAAAACGATCACCATGGAGAAAAAAGTTTTGTTCTTTTACCTTGAACTCTGTACTGAGTCTTCCTTGTGGTCGGGTTGACAATGGCGACACTCTTCCCTGAAGCTGCTTTCTTCCACTCCCCGTCGTGGTAGTACTTGTAAACCTCGTCCCCGTCCAGAATCTCTGCAAACACTCCAGTCCCTGCAGCCATGGCTGAAATCAGGGGGTTTTTTTGCTCACTCTGGTAGAAAAAGATGGAACCTTTGGAGAGCTAAAACGAAACAGAGTTCAGTGATGAGGGTGGGAAGAGTATGTGTGGTTTGGGTTGAATGAAGATTATATAATGAGGTAGAGAGGGAAGGTGAGCCATGGAAATTGTGAGATGAAATTACCACCAGAAAAAGAAAATTGGAAAGCAACAAAAGAAAAAGGAGAATTGCCAAGTGACAGGTGTAAATTTGGGCCCAAAAATAAAGATAAAATTCAATTTTTGAAATATTTTATCTTTATTTTTGGGCTTAATTTTTTGTGTGAGATGAACCGAAAAAATTTTGGGTAGAAAATCTATGGGTGGATCAAAAGTTTGAATGTTAATATTTGTACACCACATGGGTACAAGGTGGCCAAAAGACTGGACTAAGTTGATGTCATGGTTGTAGATGGTCTGGTTTGAATCTCGTAAATATGTGATAAGTCTGAAATTGAAGATGATCGATGATGTTGGTTTTTTGTTGTTGAATTAATTGGAGAATTGATAAAGATAGTGTTAAGTGTTGTTTTTTTTCCTTTCGTGTACCGATCATCATGATTGTAGCTTATATGTTCTTATTGTTATGTCGTAAGAGCAAATATAGAGACCACACAGTACAGACAACCAATTCTAAAGTTACTACTCCGATTAGAGTGGACAATGATATGCTAAACGACTGATCGCACTAAAAGTTTAATAGAATTGGAGAAAATTGGTTTGTCTTCGATCACTTTTAATTCTTGGGTGCTTTTTAAAAAATTGTTCTTATTTTAGAAAAAATCAACTAATTTGAAATCAAATTGAATGCACGTAGTCAAAGCGTTCGCAAGTCACCGAACGATCGCTCTACATTTTACGAGAGCAGGTTCTACGGTAAAACGATTGAAGTTATTTACGATAATGCCATTAGAAGTTAGTTAGCCTGCTGTTCCTTTCCCGCGAGCTACACGTGGAGGGAGTTTTGTGAACAGTGAAACTGTAACGGTTTGGCGCCAACCTTTAATGAATTAATTGTTCCCTTTTTCTGTTTTTGCTTTGCTTTCCCTCTGTGATATTCGAATTCCCGAGGCAAAACAAACTCCGTTACATTTTCTTTGTTAATCACAGGAACGGTTACATTTATGTTTCTTAATTCGTAATTAGTGGACTGCATCTGCAATCAATTTCGATAACATCAAAGAACACAGCTTCAAAGTTCAAACTCCCTTGCCTGTGTGGGCTGTGGACCAATAAGCAATGAAGCTGGAATGGGCCAGCCCAATTCCAAACCCAATAAAACCTACCTCGTTGCATATAGTGTGTTAATGCCAAGCTAGTTACACATCAATTAACTAATTATACTAACAAAAAATTAATTATTAAATTATCACCAACATCATAATCCAGGTGATTAATATGTTTGGTTCACCTAAAAACAGTCTCGGTCCGAATTTACTCTCTCGTTAAAGTTCCATAAAAAAAACACGCATCGCTTTCGTACTCGAATATTCAAAATGATCTCAAATTCACACCAATAAACATTTACTGCTTCGGAAATCTGATGCCAAATCACACATAACCATTGTTCGTGTGAAATTTACTGGTATCTCAAAATCTAATTAACATTTGAAATACCGCTAAAATGCAACTGCTAATGAGTTGGATTCGAAATTTCGTAATGTCTTTACTTATCAAGGAAAAGAAACATGTTGATTCATACTACATTCAATCATCCATGACAATCATGTGGTGCAAAAAAAATTGACCTTTGCTATCCATAAAGAAGAAGAAGCTAGGCTTCTATTAGGTATGGTGGTGTTTGGACTTGAATGAGGCCATTACCCTATCTTCCCACATAAAATGATGTGCCCAAATTGTGATGTATGATCCCCACTCCCTTTGCTCAGTAACTTCCCACAACTGTACAATGTTCATCAAACCCTATCTGCCAAAGAAGTTGGGAGCTCAACTGAAATCTCCAAAAAAAAAAAATTAAATAGGTGTGTTGTCATTGAAGGCCTGGAGTGAGAAAGGAAAAAAAACATGATGAAATTTGAATGTGGAGTGTGGAGTGGAAAGATGAGATGAGATTGGGTGGTCAAAATGGACCCCCAACAAAAGGTGATGACATATTAGGAATGTGGCTGAGGTTTTAGATCAACTTGGTCCCAATAAGGCTACAAACCCATATCCATGCCCTTGTTGAAGTTTTGTGAGAGAATGTGTAGTTGGGTTATGGAAAATGGACAATTAGCCAAATCAATCAATTGTAGGGCATGGAAGTGTAATAAGTGAACAACATATGTCTAAACAATACTGGGTGTTAATTAGTCATTGCTATGTGCAGAGGATGCAGACAGTATATGTAACAAATTTATTGTTGAACATCATAACACTCGAGCTACATTATTTAAGGTATGGATAATATGGTTATAGATCATTCTAATTCAGCTGAAGTGTAATGTGAGAACACGATTGTATTTTTAACGAATAAATTCATAAATTTATGTATCCAAAGTGTCTAAACTCTATGATTTACGGGTCGTTTGCTTCATGGATTTGAAAAATGAGGGTTTTGGTAAAACCTGGGTTTTGGAAAACCATGGATATATGATGGATTTGGTGGCATTATGGATTTGAACAAGTCTATTGTTTGCTTGATGGATTTGATTATGGACTTTGTTTGATTAGATTTGTGGATATTAAATACAAATTACCTAGTTACCCTTATTTAATTATATTTCTATATTATAATCCAAATCCTTCATTTAAAACTAATCCAAAACAAAGAAAGAAATTTTAAATTCTTTACCACTATGTGGATTAATAATTCAACTACAAATATAGAAATGTATTACAATTTGGCACTAATTAACAATTCATCTTGGCACTAATTAAAAATTCATCTAATAATCCTTCATAAAAAAACAATTCATCTAATAATGTACGCAATAATATGTATCAATTGCAGCCAATTGCTCGCTTTATTGCTACAACTCATCATCTTCTTGCTAACTCACCGATACGGAATCCGACAATCAATCAAGTAATAATGTACAAGATGAGCATAAAGTATTTCTAGGTGAATCTAACAAATCACATATACATTCATATTTAAATAAAATACGATATTACAAAATGAAATGATAAATTCTCATATTTATAAAATACGAAATTATAAAAGTTTACCGTTGCATGACCATTGAATTAAAGTAGGACAAATTTGTAATTAAAGAAATAAGTATGGGTAGAAAGGTAATTTACCATCATGGATTTTAATCCATCACCCAAATCCCACCTCAAGAGGTGGAACTTCCAAGTCCGTGGGGTCCACGGATTTGGAACCCCAAAAGTGGTGGGCCCCACAAATTCCATCTCCCTAATTCCCTAAGGCAAACGATGGATTTCGGTTCAAGTCCATGATGGATATATTTCCATCACCAAATCCATCACCAAAACCCTCAAGCAAACGACCCCTTAGGTAAAAGGACACCAATCCATCAATAGTAGTTGGGTTTTATGATGGAGGAGTAGGGAGTCGTTGAAAACATGGGATCCAAAATCAATGCTAGTTAGGTGAAAATGGGTTTGTTGCCATGCCTTCAATCACTTCATTTTCTTGTCCCTTTTTTTCAAATTTGGAATGGAGCTCCAAGAGAGAACTCAAGTATTCTTGGAGAACCACAAAATTTTCATATAAAGGGTTGTGGTAGGTGGCAAGTTCAAAACCATTCTCACCCTCACGCCTCAAATTGGACCACAAGCTTTCTTGTCCTCAAAATGGTTAGATGGATAGCTTATGGATGGGTTGGTGGATCCATTCATTGTGTGTTGTTATTTGAACTATCACTCTTTCAATTTCTTTCTCTTCTTTTCATTTCAATGCTTTCCCTCTTCTTCTATCTTTTTTCTTACTTTGTGGGTTTTGGAGATATCTTTCCTTTCTTAAAGCTTGATTTTTTTTCAATCTACTTCTTCACCCTACCCCTCATGTGATTGGGACTACTGATCATTATCTATGTGAAGATATATTGCTCCCTTGACCACATATTTTACAAAGATAAATTGGATTGGGAATTTTAAGTACAATAACGTGTTTAGGACTTGTTGTGTAAACTATAATTGCTTTACATATATATAAAAAACCAATCAAAGGAGAAAAATAGTAATAATGTATTCTCGATGTATGACTCAAATTTGATACGTAAGAATTGGATAACTGATATAGTTATTATAGTCTAAAAAGAGGTATGATCCTCTACACAAATGATCTCCAATGCATTTTTTGGTATGTATTATATTATTTCTTTTACGGTGCAACTTGAACTCTCATACGGTAATGAATAACCGCCTCGTTGCTAGTGAGATAAATTGCTTGACATAGAGACTAGATATACAATTTTTGAACACAAAAGGAAAAGAAAAAGGAAATACTTGAAAATCTAGTTTGTGTTAGGCCTGGACCTGATGCTGTTGGTCTAGGAAAGTTGGGCTAGAAACCCAAGCAAATCAAATTGGACTTGTAATAAGGCTTCTGGGCTTGTATCCAAAGGCCCACAGCCTTTGGATATGCTTTCGGCTTTTTCTTTTTCTTATAATAATTTTAGCTCTTCTGACAAACGTATTTATTCTCTGTTCTTCGTCTTCCACCATTGCCGACCATTCCTTCGCTTCCACAATAAAGAATTCCGATTTCTCTCCTCAATCTTACCCGATTCAATTTCGTCATCCCAAACCCTAGAAATTTTCCCCCAAATATGCATCCCAAATCGCTCCAGGTTCTCCTCAGAACCCCGAATTCCCGCCGCCTCCAAACCCTAACCTTCGATCCATCGCAGCCCCAAACCCTCCGCGACCTGAAGCTCTCCCTGATCCCCGACAATGGAAACCCCGACGCTTTCTACTTCACCGCCAACGGGAAGCTCCTCTCCGACGACTCGATCCCCATCGGCGGCCCCCAGGTCCCCGCTCTCTCCACGCTCACCCTGCGCCACCGGCTCAGCGGCGGCGGTGGCGATGGCGGCGCGACGGGGGCTGAATCCCGCGACTGCTACCTCAAGATGTACGCCGAGAAGAAGCCGGACAAGGTCGACCCCAACGAGCAGCGGCTTTCCAAGTGGGTGAACTGCGCCCTCTCCTACGAGACTCTGCGGCAGCCTTGCGTGATGGATCGACTGGGAAATGTGTTCAATAAGGAGTCTCTGGTGGAGGCTCTGATAGGTAAGAAACTGCCCAAAGCTTTTAGTCACATTAGGGGTTTGAAAGATATGATTGATATCAAATTGGAGCCGATCCCCGGTGGGGAATCGAACAATGCCTGGTTCCAGTGTCCGATAACTGGGCTGGAGTTCAATGGGACCTACAAGTTCTTTGCGTTGAGGAAATGCGGGCATGTGTTGAGTGCCAAGGCTTTCAACGAGGTGAAGTCGAAAGCTTGTCTGGTTTGTTACAAGGAGTTTGAGGAGTGTGATAAGATTGTGATCAATGGGAGTGAAGAGGAAGTGGAGGCTTTGAGGGAGAAGATGGAGGAGGATAGGGCTAGAGTTGGTAAAGATAAGAAGCAGAAGAAGGTCAGGAATGGAGATGTTGTTGCAGCAGCTGAAGGCGGCGTCTCTAATGGTGGAGAGATGGAGGAGTCTGGTAAGAGATTGAGTGGGAAGAAGCATGGGAATGTTGATGGTAAAGATGTCGAGAAGGTCAATGCGAAATCCGAGAAGTTGAATGGCAAGATTGAGAGTGCTGGCACTAACAACAAGAGGTTCAAGGCTGCTGCTGTGGCACCGGCTCATGCCACGAAGGAGGTTTATGCATCGATCTTTACGTCCTCGAAGAAGAAGTCGGATTTCAGGGAGACGTACTCTTGTCGATCTCTGCCTCTCGGCAGGAACTGATCTAAGTGGAACGCAAGCTATGAATGTGATGTCTGCTGATTATGCTATTTCGAATGCCTGATTGCTTGTATGAATCTGATGTTGTTAACCATATGAAGAATTACGTGCCAAGTTCAGAGTTAGCATTGGATTGTGTATTATTGTGACATATTCAATATTTGTTGTGAGATTTGCCTTTTCTGGCAGATATCCTCCTGCCTGCCTTTTCATTACAGGTATTTCAGAATAGTAGACATACTGAATTTATGACGTGCAATTTGCAATACAAGAAAATCTTCTTATATAGTTCTTAATCCATAATATCCATGACTAGCTATATGCATATATCTGACGACACTGTATACCTTAATGCTTGACATTAGATCGATCGAACAAATGGAGTGAATCATTCAATGCAGAACAGAATTATGATAGTACAAAATCTGTCTCTACAGTTTAATAGATGATGCATGGAGTAGACGCTTGAGATCTTTGAGCGCAAAATGATTTTCAAGATGCTACCATATCGGGTTGAGGAAATGAGATGAACTTGAGAAGATGTCATAGAAGTTTACCCTGAAGTTGTTCATCATACATAGCAATTACAAACTTGGGGGTAAGCAACGAAACAATACGACGCGCAATGAATCTAAACACCCTTGCCTATAGTGAATTTCCTAGTTCCTCTTTGTTCTTCACCATTGATTATAATATAACAAAATCGAGGTACAAACCTTAAAAAGACGGTATTGAATTTCCTAATAACCTCTACCGTGTTCTCTCGAATAGATAATGTTACAAGATTCCAGCACTTCCAAGTGCTCTGCTTTCGTATACGATGGATGGGGAGCTGTGATCCCTACGGCCAAAGATCTCGCCCCATCAATGGAGGCCTCAAGTCTGTCGTCCTGGTGCAGCAAAGTAACTTGTTGATTGATTCATTGCAACTGAAAACTGTGGCGTAGAGAGACGTTTGGCAATTCATTCTTCGACTGCAGTTCTTTTCTCGAAAAGTGCTTCCAAAAATGGGCCACATAATAGAGTAAGGGGTGGAAGATTGTGTGATGGTCCGCTGAATATCGTCTCCCAAGGCCTTTCGGTCGGGAAAGATGGGACAGACCACGGAGTGTGTTTTCTCGACGGAATTGGCGGCAGTAGCTCACCATAGAGAGATGCATAACCAACTTGCCCTGAAAAAGCACGAGCAGAAGGCGCCAGGTCAATTTACAGTGCGGTCTGAGATTCAGACCTGGGTCGAATAGATAGATATACGAAATAATTGAAGCCTACCAGATTCTTCGGGGCTGCTTTGACTCTTCCATCGTGTTACGCTTAGTTCTTCTGCTTCCGTCCCATGTGGATCGAACAGTACATACTCGTGATCAGCATTCATGTATGCAAGCAGTGTTTGAGCAGCCTGTTGCTGGTCGGATGAGCTCTCTTCATCGGAAGACTGATTTCTGATGAACGCTAGTGCACCACCTTTGGCCTGGTTCACAAAGCAAAGAGGATAAACAAAGCAAGTTAGATACTATAGATGCAATGAGAACTAACTGTATACATGTTTGTAGATTATTTCTCCAACATTCAAGAGTTGACGGGGGGTGGCCAAGCAAACTACCTTCTTGACTGACCATACAGCCACAGGATTCGGTTCGGCAGAATTGAATAACAAGATCAACCCATCTACTGTTTTATGAGATTTTTCATTAGGGTCGTAGACTCCACCCGATTCCGAAATGAGGACGAGAGCAGCAAAAGAGGAACTGTCCGGAGAACTGGCTATAGCTGCACCATGTATTCACGTGTTAAATGTTGATCAAGTACTAGCATTGATGGCGAAACACTGACGTTTGAGGAGCCAATACAGTATCATTGGTCAGCTTCAAAAAGATAAAGTATTACCTTCTACGTGGAGCCTGTAAGACCAACATGTGGAGAGATTCAACAGACTCCAAACAGCAAGTTGTGGCTTTGAACCCCAAGATGCCGATACAAGATGGTCCGAGTTGCCAACAAACGAGAGGGCAACGATTGGCTGTTAAAATAAGGTCAATAAATAGAGTCAGCAGATAAGTTACAAGACATGAGAGGAAGGAACAAAGTGAAAGACTTGTAGGCGCTGCAGCCCTCAAAAGACATCGCAGATATCAGTAAGAAGCCAGGTGCGAAAGATATGCAAGAACTAGAGGCTCAATCATAGCTAGCAGGTCTCTCTGCCTCTTTGAGGAGAGAGCACAATCTTTTTAAAATTTATCGCTGGAGAAGTTCAAGAGCAGGCTATGCTAAACTTCTTCCTTAATTCATGATGATATAGGTCGTAGGATATTGGAACATTGAAATCAGAAATGAATAGGATGGTAGAGAAATCACCGTAATAGCTTCGCCAATTACAGCCACAAGAAGGTTCTTATCAGGGTCCCACAATGTGATAACAGTTTCAGCTGCAACAGCCAGAACAGAACCATCAGGGGAGAAAGCAGCTGCTGTCATTGGCTTTTTTCTGCAAGATACCACAGAATATGAGAATCAATGGAAAGTTTAATGGAAAAGACAAGATGATAAACTCCCCACAGGGACAAGGTTCTTACTTGTAGGACCCAACAGCATGGCAAATCCATCCGGAATTTGGCTGACTTTCTTCTTTCATGGGAGCCCCACTGTTGGAAGTCCAAATCTGTGGCAATGAAAGAAAATGTTGTCTCGTGTCAGGTATCCACAAAAAATTGCCAAGATTTTCTGTAGTTCAAGTTACCTTAAAGTCCCCACCAAAAGATGAGCTGACAGCCATTCGACGGTTGGGATGAAATACGATAGCAGAGATTCCAGCATCCCTACGGAAAGTAAACCATGTTCGTGAAGATTTATGTACTAAGCAGCATAAACAAAGTCACTAACTAAGTGCATTCTGAAAACTGAAGAGAGGATAGTAATATTTTGAGTCTAAGGAAAGCAGCCAGATGAAACGGATACAATTTTCAAGATAAAGAAAAAACATGCGATAAGAATGCTTGTGAGGGAGTAGAGAGCAGGTTTATTGTGCAGTTTGCAGCACAAGCCTAGTACTTGTACAAGATGCAACTCCATTTCTAACATATTGTGACAAGGGCCAAACCTGTGTGGTTCATAAACAATGGTTGACAAGCTGAAATCTCCAGCCTTCGACTTTGAGAACCAAAACTTAAGGCAAACAAGGTGTCCCAAGCCATCTTCAGGCAGTTTCACCTCAGAAGTACACAACATAGAACCATCTAGAGATAGAACTACAGATGTCACAACTATCTGCAACAATACAAGCTCTTCAAATTTCCCACTTTCAAGGAACATGTAAAAGAGCATAGTTCAGGTTAAAAAGATTTAGGTCAAGCAACTATGTTACCGTGACTTCATCAACTGGTTGGTGATTTCTCTCATAAACTTGAACCTGGAAAGTGGAGCATCAAAATAATGCAATTTAAAAAGATATACATAAGATGCTGAGTAGATGGTCCAAATGAAAAGGGGATGAGAAGATTCATTGGAAGGCCTACAAATGTAAGCATTAACAGAAGAATGAGTAATTCTCTCAACCTCTGAAATTCCGCGATCATCAAAAAGGCTGTATAACTGGACTGCATAACTCTCGGTGCGTAAGGCAACCAAGCCAGCATTCTGATCAAAGGAAACCCCACTTGACATACCCTTGGATATCTCTGGATGCGAATATGGAAGCTGCAAAAGAGGAGAAGAATAAACCAAAAGCAATCCTTTAAACACATGTAGTTAATAACAAAATATCCTTGGAAACTGACTAGATTAACTAATTACACGTTCATGTCTAGCTCTAGATGTGGGTTGTTATGAGATACCAGGTATAGTTCGGGTTCCAGGTTTCCATATGAACCTCCAAACTTAAACATGTAGAAACCCAGATATACAATGGTCAAAAGAAATGACAATAGAATTTGTATCTGCCCCTAATTTCCTCTCCATGTCACTCTTCATTGTTTTTGCTAGGCTTTATTTTTCCTCTGTTGCGTTCGTCTTTAAGGGATATGTTCTAGAAAGAACCAGTTTACATACTAACAAAACTAAAAGATTCGACAGCTTCACACATGTACTCCTCATGCTTATTGCTAAACAGAAAACTTACTACAATTAAACCAGGCAAATTACAGTCATAACCAACCTTTATTCCAGAGATAGACTTCAAGATTTCCATTGAAGGCCTTCTAACTAGATGGATCTGATTATCTGCACAAGATATCTGATGGCCCTTGTTTTAGATAAAATTGTCAAAAACAGTTAACCATGCTTGGACATGGGAACTCTCAACCAATTCCAATTTAATGCAACCATGTTCAACTTACTGATGAAAATGAAGGATCTGGAGAGTCTGTAAAATGTAAGAGTGGAGATCCGATTCGCGGTAAAAATTTCTTCTTCCCAGTGTCCACCTGCCAGACTACAAGAACACCTTCTTTCCCCCCTATACACAAATCAAAGCAGGGGGTTCAGTGAAAGAACATGAAAGAGAAGAGATCCAAGAAACTGAAATCCACAATTATGGGACAGTTAAGTAGCTCCCAGTTGATTGGTGACTGTTGCACAAAATTTTCAACAAGTGTCATGCTTAAAATATTCTACCTGGACCAATGAATCTTAGGGGCATAGCTCTACTATTATTGTATTCAGAAAGTAGAGTGTCATTATTTTCAAATCCACATGATACTAGTAACAGAAATAATCGCTTTCCTAGTCCAAGTTAACAACATAAATAGGGACTTCTTTTATGAACTCCAAAGCCTAGAAAAGTTGGACAATCCCTTTTTCTGTGTAAGAATATACAAAGGCACGAATAGCTAACACGAGATAGGACATCTTTTCTTTTAGTTTCACTATTTTACCAGAAAGTAAATAAGCTCCATCAGAAGAGAAGGAGAGCAAATTCACTTGAGCAGGGTGCCAGTGCCATGTTGTACATGACTCAGCGTCATCACTACCCCTCACACCAGGATTTTCTTCATCCGTAATCATTGAACTTCCATTTACATGCCCATTGGCCATGGCAAACGTTTTGTTTCCAAAACCTCTCCATATCATAATTCTCCCAGTCGCATCACCTGCAGCAAGAATTCTCTCGGTAGGATGGAACGCAATAACCGTCAGGGCCTTTGTATGATGTAGGGTAATCTTCTTGAGCACTGCACGACCAGAATCAGTAGATGGCACTTTCCATATGTCAAGCTTACGCTTTCTCCGGACACCCAAAAGTTGACCACAAGAGCTCATTGTAATTATCTCTGGTTTCTTCATCTGTAAGACGAAAATAACACCATTTAAATCCATTTCATCGACTGAAATGCATATACAACTTCTCTGAATACCTTTATATATATCCAAACATACATACATATAGATATTATACATACAATGCCACTAAGCCAATATTAGAAATGCTTTCCAAATAAGATAAGGACAACAGTTGCAAAAAAGATAGTAAACAGCAGTTCCTGGCCAAATCAATCACATAACCATGGCTCTCGATTTATTAATTCAAGCAAGGAACAGAGGGTAAAAGCTACCCTTAGGGTAACATAACCGATTCACTGACAAATTAATGACCTGTACAAAGTGAAATCATACCTCTGCCAATACTGCTCCTCCTACCAAACGAGCGTCGGTTAAATTACATTTTCTGACTTGAAATAAGCCTTTAGCCCTATCTTCTGCTTCTTCTTTAGCTTCAACACAAATGTAAGCGAAAGATTTTACGGCCTTTTCACTCTTTTCCACTAAATGGTTAAACAAAGAGGGAATCACCTGCATAAGTATAAACAGAATCAGCATCCAAATTAAAGTACACTGGAATGATGCATCCTAATGCTTCAGGGAATACTAATTAATGCCAAAATGCAGCTCTACGTGCTTGTCCAAGCTTAGGGGAACACTGAGGAGATAACAACAAACACTAAAGATAACAGCACAAAAAGAATCAGCAAAACCTAGCTAAGGTTTTATTTACCATGGAGTGAACAGGGAGCTTAATACCAACACTCCTAATCATCTCCGGAACTGCGAAATCCCAATACCGAATGGTTCCATCGAGTGAAGCCGTCCAGCAAAAGCACAGTATCTTACTCCCTGGAGTGCTGGCCGGCACCACTATCACCGCCGTCACAAGCGCCGCATGGCCGTCTAACGACGCTACCTGAGGAAGTCGTCACAGTCAAAATCAGCTTCGAAACAAATTAGAAAAAGCACACTAGAAAATGAAACGAGTTAAGGACAGAGGAAATCAATTAGAGAGGCACCTGCAAGCCGGTGTCCGTGCTGAAGACGGCGACGGAGTTGCCGGCGCAAACCAAGAGGCGTTTGGAGTCGTTGGAGAAAACCGGCGGCGAAGACACATAGTTCCTCCCTCCTCTGATCATAATGATGATGGTGGAGGCGCAAGCGAGAGTCAGAGGCTGAACGGAGGAAGAGAATAGGTCGACTGAACGGCGGCGGTAGCGAGCGGGAAGAAGGAAGAGAGGGGAAGCACACGGTGGCGGGGTTTTTCGCTGCAGTTGGCTTCGTTTCAAGGTTTTTGGGCCTTCCAGCGAGAGAAGGAAAGGAATGCCCTAACTGAAAAAAATGGCCCGAGTTTTCCCTTTTCTTTTTCCTATTTTCAAATATTTTGTTACAACTTACGGGAAATTCAAAAAAATTATGAAGCTATGGCATGAACAAGTTCCGCCTCAATAAGACTTATCAAAGGAAAACCCATTAGCCCATGAACACATTTGGGTTTTGAGCCCAATGTACGTCTGGCATGGAGGTATGAGCAGTAGATGGGCCCACTTCTTAAGACTTGGACTTCTATTCCATTTCCGAAAATCCATGTTCCTGACAAGCTTGTGTGCACTATGATCCTACTGGATTGTTCCAGGTAAAATCCGCCTATCATCTGGTGTACTGGTTAAATCGTGTTCAGGAGGGTCGAGCTAGGGTACAACAGGTTGATCATGATATGTGGATTTGGTTATGGAATTTAAAGATTCCACCAAAGTTAAATTTCTTTATTTGGCAGTGTTTGAATCGAATTATGCCAACGAGAGAGGCTCTTCTTGTTAGAGGGCTTGATAATTTACCGGTATGTCGGGTTTGTGGCAGAAGGTTGAATCATTGGAACATTTATTTTTTAACTGTTCTTTTGCTCGTCGATTATGGAGATTGGTGGGATTTGGTGGTCATTTAGGGTCATGGAATAAAAGATCTTTTGCAGGGATGGTAAGATCGGAACTCTTTCAGAAGGACATAGACCATAGTTGTCCTTATTTTGTTATGCAGGTGGTTATCATTTTATGGAGAATTTGGAAGAATAGATGGAGATTTTTCCAATAATAGCACCTTTAAAAAAAAATTACAAAACTAGCACCCATATGAAAAAATTGACAGAAATAGCACCAATTTTTTTGGAACGCACCCCTAAAGTGCGTGTTATAAGTATACCGCACCAGAAGGGTGCATTTTATTTATAAAACGCATCATAGGGGTGCGTTCCAGATCGCAAAACGCACTAGGGCGATGCGATTCAATGCTGCTGCGGAACGGTCTTCAAGACCGTTGGATGGCAGGGCGATCGGGCGGCTGAACGTTTGCCAGCGGAGCGATCCGCGCCAACCACAACAGATCGCACGCCCGAGATGCGGTCAACCCTAGGGAAACGCAAAACGCATCGGGAGAGTGCGATTTCGCTCAGGGCAAATTTACCAGACCGCCCCTCCCCCTTTCCCCTCTCATTTCTTCACACCACAACCCATTCTTCCTTCTCTCTCTACAATTTATCTCTCTAAACCCTCCCCCTCCCAAAAGGCTAGGAAATAGTGGTCTGTTGGTTGCGGCTAAGTCCGATATGCCATCAGAAAATATTTCGTAGGTTTTTTCCTCAAAACCCGCCGAGCCGAGCCGCTCTGTCCGAATTGCGCCGCAAAAATGGCCGATTGGTGGCAAGGAGAAGGAGTTTATGTTGATGAATTTCAAGCGATACGGACTTATTATTCTGGTTTAATTTTTGTTGTTGTTATAAGCTTTTTAATTAATCTATGTACTAACCTCGTTGTTATTTTCTCGTAGGTTGGGGAGGACGTCGATATATACAACCAACGGTATTATCTCGAGCAAGGACCGTTGGATCCAACCGACTTGTACGACCAACCCAACCATCGGTCAAGGGATGTTTGGAACGATCACCCGGTACATACAATTCTTCACCAATTGTCCTTCTTTTATTTTGTTAATGTATTTAGTGTAATATAAAATAAATTTATGTTGATTTTTTAATCGTGTTGGTGGTTTTCAATAATTTAATCGAATACATAGCGCCACTTACTTCAACTCTTTATAAAGAGATGCACGTCTAAGGAAATGGGGTTTTAAGCGATTATCATATCCCCCAAGTGCGGTCTGTGTGGCTAAACCGCACCTTAGATATGCGGTTTAGTTTTGGAGGATTGAACCGCATCTCTAAGGAGCGGTTTGCCTAGGTCAGGCCAAAACTGCTCCTCGGCCATGCGTTTTGTGTAGGGCAGACGTGAAAACGCATGGCCAAGATGCGGTTTAGCCCCAGAAAAATGGACCGCACCCTACAGGTGCGGTTTATATAGAAAACGCACCTGGAGGATGCGGTTTATATATAAAACGCACCACAAGGGTGTGGTCCAAAAAAAAGGGTGCTAGTTTTGTAAATATTTTTGGAAGGGCGCTAGTTTTGTAATTTTTTTAAAGGTGTTATTTCTGGAAAAAACTCGAATAGATGTGCTGCACTTTTTGAACACCAACAAGTTCGTGTTGAGCAGCGTGCTGCAGAATGGAGACATCAAGCTCGTGAAATAGATGAGGCTATGCTGGTCTCGTCCACTAATAATTCAACTGGTCCGCTTGCTTCTTCTCCTCTTCGCAACCTTCCTCAACAGGGAAGCTTCCATCACTTTGCTTCTTTTGACGGCGCAACCTGTAAGGAAATCAAGGGGGCTGCTGCTTTTGTTGTTGGGGAAGGCCAATCTAATCCAGTTTCGGCTACTGCAACAATCTATCATGGTATTAGTGACCCTCATGTTTTGGAGACTTTGGCACTAAGGGACTGCATTCAGGAATGTATCCACAAGAATCTTCCTTCTGTGCTGATCACGGGTGATGCAAAGCTAATCATCGACAAATGTTTGGCTCGAGACTTTGATGACGCAAAGGTGGGTGCAATTCTAAGGAAAATAGCATCGTTAATGGTGGATGTAACTTTGTCTTGCGTTTTGTGGGACGGGATCGTAACAGGGAGGCTCATTTAGTGGCCAGGAAATCCTTGATTTTGTCACCTCAACTTCTAGCGAGGTTCGACTTCGTGTCTTGGCTTCGTAGTTTGTAATAACTCTGTTTTGATCTTATCTTTCCTCTCTATGAGAGTGATTGAATGGCAAAAAAAAAAAGTGAGTTTGGTCGTTTCCACCTTAGAAGACTTACCGGTTTTTCTTTTTTGGTCATAGCAATCCTTGCAGATTAACCAGATAAACGCGAGTGTAGTCACATCGCGGAATCAAAGACAAACCATATAAGAGTAGTCAAACAAAATAGTAGATAAACCAGGATAGCGTAAGGTTGTACGTGCCACACAAAGGGTAACTCGATTCGCATCTCTAGGTATGTAAAGTAAATCCACATGAGGGAAAAGAAAGAGGAGCGACAACACTTCGTGGAGTAAGACCCCCGAAACAACATCATTATTGTCTCCATTCACCAATTGTCATACCACATTGATAGCATCACTTGAAATCTGCACGGGCTTGTCGCGCCACTGCCACCGAAGGAGTAGGAGCAATGTTTCCCGAATTGCCAAAATCTCCATGCATTTGGTGTCAGAGATCCCACCGAACACCCTTCCAAAAGCAAATAAAGGTGAGACCCCATCATTCGCGAATCCCACCAGACCAATGGCTCCATGAATCGGAGAATGAATGGCACCATCCACCGCAATCCGAAAGCACGATAATGAAGATCGACTACCAAACGAGTTGAGGGATCGCTGTGAGCCAGATGCAGTTGGGGGTCGTTGTGGGCTTGTGGCAAGATGATCGTCCGCGGGGTGTGAAAGCAGTTGGGTCATAGTTTTAGATTACAAATCCAACACCAATGAAAATTTATCAAAATGTATGGTTGCATAAGGTACAACGTAATTGTCAATTATAGATGTCCAAGTAATTAAAAAAAATGTAGACATAAGGTCACACGAGTTCGATACCCGATCTTGCCTGTTATCAGTCATATAATTTTTTTGTATCCTAGTACTTTTGGATAATATGAATTATCTTTTGATAACGAAATTACAGGATTTTATTTTGGTTGAATCACAGATTTTTCATAACAAAAAGGAAATGGTTTATAAAAAATAAAAGTAGAGAAATGCTATTGGTAGTTTGCTCAAAACCTCCTGAAAAATTAAAAATGAAAAAAATGAAGATAAAAGGAAAAAGGAAATGGACGAAATACGAGATATTATTTCGTTTCATTGCTTTCCTCTATAGAAGAAAATCAAAATAATAGCTCATATATCGCTCCAAGATCATATCATCACTCTCTTGTATTGTACCTTTGTCTCTTAAGAATCTGCAATCTAAATCTCACTGTTTCTTCTTCTTCTTTGTTCTTCTCCTCATCTGTTTCGCCAACCTGCTTGCAGTTCAATGTCGTTACAATGTAACCATAAAGGAACAATCTCTTCCTCTTATACCTGCTAATAAATCAAAATATTATCTCCTCTTATCGCTCTTCATTTCCACCATTTTAGTCTCGTTCGCCACACGTTTTTGTCTAATCGTATTTGGGAATTTCACTTGTCCCCTGTTTTTTAAAATATTTTTCTAGGAAAATTGAAAAAACATACCTATAAAATTTCTTCTTTGTCGTACTCGTTGATTTAAAAAATACACCTACAAAGATTTTCTCGAAAAGCTCTCAGGAAAAAATATTCCGCGAAAAGCCCAATCCGTTCTCTGGGATTGGCGCTTTTTCGGGACCGAAAGGTACGATCTTTTTCTATCTGCGCATCCTCTGCCTGTCTAATTTTCACTCGTTTGGATGTTTCCGCCTCGTGGGTTTCCTGTTGGACGAACTGAATTTTTCTGGGTTCCTTTGGTTCGGCGGAATTTGGGGGTTTTCTGTTCCAATTCTAGGGTTTATCCTCCCGCATGCCCTGATTACTCTGTTTCTTTCTCGTGCAGGGGGGCTAGAGTTCTTGGTTTCTGAGAATTCCCGTGTGGGGGGTTTTTCATCTGGTATCGAACCAGAAAGGAAATGTCGATTCTCCCCAAGAGCGAGTCAATAATTATCCGTGACGTATGGAACGATAACCTCGAAGACGAGTTCGAGCTGATTCGGGACATTGTCGACGATTTCCCTTTCATCGCGATGGACACAGAGTTCCCTGGGATCGTTCTACGGCCCATAGGCAATTTCAAGAGCGGTTCTGATTACAACTACCTTACCTTAAAGGCCAATGTCGACCTTCTCAAGCTAATCCAGCTCGGCCTCACTTTCTCCGACGACAAAGGCAACTTGCCCACATGTGGGACTGGCAAGTTCTGCGTATGGCAATTCAACTTCCGGGAGTTCAACCCGAACGAAGATGTCTACGCCGATGACTCCATCGAGCTTCTCTCACAGAGTGGCATTGATTTCAGAAAGAACATCGAGATGGGTGTCGAGGCTAAGCGGTTCAGCGAGCTGCTGATGTCGTCGGGGATCGTGTTGAATGACAATGTGCATTGGGTTACCTTCCATAGTGGGTATGATTTCGGGTACCTTTTAAAGCTGCTTACTTGCAAGAATTTGCCCGAGACGCAGGCGGAATTCTTCAAGCTGATCAGGTTGTACTTCCCTGTGCTGTATGATATAAAGCATCTGGTGAAGTTCTGCAATAGCCTTCATGGTGGGTTGAACAAGCTGGCCGAGCTCTTGGATGTCGAGAGGATCGGGATATGTCACCAAGCGGGTTCGGATAGCTTGCTCACTTGTTGTACATTCATGAAATTGAAAGAGAGTTTCTTCAATGGCTCGACAGAGAAGTATGTTGGTGTGCTATATGGTCTTGGTGTGGAGAATGGACAGAATACTCATTGATAAGAGGGCAATAGAAAGAAGAAAAAAAAAATCAATATGAAATAAAAGTATAAAAAAAATGAAGTTTTGGTTAGTGTTACATCGCTGTTCGTGTTCCAGTTCTCTTCTGTTGCATTCTGTATTGTGTTTTCACTGTTTTCTGCTTGCAGGTTTCAACACGATATCAGGTAATGAGGCTTCTCTCTAGTCTCTTCCATGGGATGGCTTGCCCTCCATATGCCTTCTCCTTCACTAGATTTGCATTGCACTCTGGTCCCTATAGTCTCCTTGTTGCTTGGTGATGCTCGAGCTGCTGGTAATCTTGGTTACCGGATTAGGAAGTGTTACCATCGTGCATTAATTTGGACCATTTGATTGGACCGTGGTGTTTGAGTTTTCCGACACTCCCACTCTCTTGCACAGGCTATGCCATAGTTCGGCCATTAGCCAGGATATGGCTAGTAAGTCAGCTGCTAATCGACATCTTACCAGGGATGGTTCCCTAGCATGGTTTTGTCCTCTTTAGTTCTGAAATTTTGGCCGTTCTCGATCACTCATCCATGAAGGTTGCATTGCATTCTACTGCTTGTGTTAGAGATTGCTGTTTGCCTAGTGTTTAGTTAGTTAGTGTGATTACTATAGGACTTGGAGAGGATTGATAACATTGCGTGGCTCATGTGGACACTAGAGCTTCTTTGCCTTGCTCATTGAAGAATGGGGAAACTAGGCCAGGTCGATTCAGCGAATTGGTGAATTAGTCGTGTCCCCTGTCGATTCTCTTCTGAAACCACCCATCAAAATGAACTCCCAGCAAGCCGATTGCTATCTTACTGTCCAATTTTGTTCAACATCTCGCCTCATATGTCATGTCCCCTTACTGTCCAGTCCCCTAGACTCCCAGTTTGTAGTTTTCCCCTGCCTTTTCTGTTTAGAATACAATCCACCATAGACCACTTTGCCTGTGCCTCTTCTCATATACTAGTATGTCACTGATTTTAGGAGTCACCTTGTAATGCCCTATCAGATGTTTACAACTGAAGTACTGGATTCTCTTTTTGGTAGACCTTTGAAGGAGAAGATTCATTGCCAACAAATCTTTATTATTGAATTCACCCAATTCGCGAGGGATGTACTTTATCCGTTAATCTACTGGGTTATGGGGAGCAATTGCAAGAAGTTTCTAATAGATCAAGTGTAATTCTTTTCAGAGTATCTACCTGAGGTAGTTCCGGGATTGGTCCTTTTAGATAGGCTCTCCCATTCATTAGATAGAGAAGAGCACCAAGACTTTGCGACTTGCTAAATCATATAACCCTACAGTCGAACCAATCGTGTCAAGTTCTGAGTTGTTTAGTTGCACTTATCGCGCATTGCTCCCAGCAGCACGTAGGACTACATTAGGCAGACAGAACAAACTTAAATGAGGGAAAATTAGCTGCTTCAACATCGTTTTCATTCAACTGCTGGATTATAGCGATAGGGATTAGGGAAGACGACATAAATGCAATAAAGATCCACATTCCATTTCGCTCTAATAACGGTTTATTTGAACAATCTAATTTGGAGTTCAAGGGTGAGGACTGAACCATTAGAACCCTTTTTACTTTACACTGAATGCAGCTGACAGTCACTATTACAAGATCCACTTCAAAAACTTACACCACCAGGAGGTAGTGATAGAATCAGACAATATCTCAAGTGAGAGGGTTGCCAAGTTTTTTCAGAGAGCCCCCTGCAGCAGTTCGTAAAAACACCCCAGCGTGTCCTGACAATGCGCAAGGCTAGAGAAGAACATTACCCAACAGCATTTCCACTGATTTATTAGCCTACTCTCGCTTCTCTTCTTAGCACCTGGTTGCAAGAAAGAGCAGATAACCAGGAAACTGTTAATTAAGTAGTTATCAAGGACTGCAAATTTTCGACGTAACTATATTCCAACCGGTCTAAAGATTCTGGCTTTCCAACAGCTCTTGGATGTAGGAATCATTTAGATTAACATAACCATGAGCAAACTGAAATTCTTCAGAACAATCCTAGTGAGATCTAAATTACAAGGAAAAGTTTACCTCCTCTGCAAATTTTATCAAAATAGTCGTCCTAGGTCGTTGCTGGCCTTCCATAGGAACAAAATGAGCTGTTACTACTGCTGGAAAACCAGCATTATCCAGCACACCCTGCAGTTGAAGAAGACGGGATTATTTTACCTGTTCAGAAAGTTGACTATATGGTATGAAATATGAATTCAGGGCTTACCCTTACTATTCCAGCAACGAAAGCCCCGCAATTAAAAGTTCCCATGTCTTTAGGAATGGAAATAAATCTGCGAACATTATGGTCAATCAGGGTACCGTGATTGAACTTGGATAGAGCACCAGTGATAACTACTCAATTGTTGATATCATTAATAATGAGCAAGGAGAAACCTGTTAACGAGAAGCTCTTTCTCACTGATCATGTATTCGTCTTCATGTTCAGTTCCCTTCTCGAGGGAATCAGCTACCTGATAGAATAACAGACAGAAGAGCAAGGAGAGAAAGTACCAGATGTGAGTGAAAGATATTGTCAACACAGCATAACTGGGCTACAGCGGCATCGAGACAAACTGTAAGCAATCCCTCTTGAGAATCAGCAACCAGTTACCATAATGGAAATTGTCTACAAAGAAGGAAAACGATTCCACTAGAACTGCAGGCAACAAAGAGAACCCAGAAGGGAATTCCTAAGAAGTTATGAACTTACTTTTCCAAATAAAACCTTCCACACTGTGCTGTGTACGAAAGACAAAATCCCCAGGAGTCGTGTTTCACGTCTATTCCCCTGCGACGGTCAGAAAGTCGTAAACTTAAACACATGGCACAAGGAAATTTTCCAATTATATTACTGTTGAAAAAAGAAAAAACAGGGTGCATCTCCCAAAGTAAAGCATATCATCTGTCCTGTATTCCACGAGCTCTGAATAGCTATAAAGCATGGATTCCATCAACTGGAGAGCTTAAAGTACCAATTCAGGAAAAATTAGAACTTTAAAAGCAAGGAATGTAATGCCCGGAGTCCTACTACTTCAAAGCTTCCAATACATTTAAAGTCACCTTCATCCAAAAAAGAAAGCTTCCAGTACATTTAAAGTCACCTTCATCCAAATTAAAAAAAAAAGCTTCCAGTACATTTGCAGCTACCAAGGAAAACCATCCCATGCCTTATTCCAACGTCTGACATCTCCGAAAGACTCATAAATTATCTGTGCAAATTGAGCAGCTAACTGACAACAGATGAACTATAACATAGATTACCTTTTCTCTATGACAAAGAAGTTCTAGGCATCGAGCTCCAACAGCATAGCCTGCATCCTCCAACCTGCTCCATTGAGGTTAACTTTTCAGAACCATAACGATGCATTATCTAAAGCTTCAAGCGTTTCACGCAAGACACCAATATTGCCAATAACCAGATGACACCTCACCTTCGCTCTAATTCAGCAATGTTGTCAACCTGAGTTTGGTTATACTGTACAAGCTCCGAGAACAAGAATGCAAAAGCACTCAAACTAACCTGAAGAGACAAATAAAAAGGGAACGACATCCGTCAAGTACCAGAAGTATCAACATACAAACCGAACAACAATCACGAGCTCTGGTGCAGACGTGCAGTGGTGCTGATTCTTTACAGGATGAACTTCTCCAATCAGATGTTCTATCAATACTGTTGAATACGATGAATTCCCCAGAACTGTATAGCACTAAGGAGCAGACTAACACCAAAACTACGCATCAAGCTTACAGTCTCATCCAGGAGGCGGAGCCAAGAATCTGAATGAGAGGGGCTAACTTGAATCGTGACAATTGTGGAGGTGGGGAAACCAGCAAAAGGATCTAATTCACCGGGAAAATGTACCAGAACTGGAAATCGAAGATTGCAAAACTTTCCACGATCCGGCAATCGTGAGCAATGGCTAATCGAAAGCTACCAGCTCCTATCGTCCGTGTATTTCTCGGCAACCAAACAATAACAATGCATCTAGAATTGAGAACGAAGATGATAATATGTACCTCCTGCTTGCCCTTGCTTAGGGGTTTGTCGAGGACATTGGAGTACTGCTTGATCTTGCTTACTCCGATCATTCTTGCTCCCGCGAACTTTCAGTGATGGTCGCGGGTTCTCCTCCTGTTTCGATTCTGCGGAGACGAGATCGAATCACAGACGAATTTGCTCGGGGCAGTGCGCGGGATTAGCGTTTGGGAATCTGTTTGGTAGCCGAGAAAAGGGAGTCTGAGAAATGAAATTGCAGAAAAAAAGGCGACCGAAAAAAATAAGGAATATCAATATGCACCGAGCCACCGACCCGGATTGGATCCATTTTAAACATATATGGGCTGACCCGATTACCCGAACTGTTGCCAAGCGATTTTGAAGTTAACTTGGGCATTGTTAACAGGCCAGATTCGCCATGAACCAGCCCAACTCAAGAGTCAAAATAAAGAAGTTGGGCTTTCCTTCATGCCGAAAACCGATATCAATTCGTAGATTTTTTATTGGACTTTAAAATTAAACATCGTCTACGTGCTATTTTTTGATGTATTTTTCGGTAAGTCTAGTCATAGTGTATTTCATAATCATGTGGATGCTTCTTAAATGTGCGTCCTCTATATGGTTGTGATCAAACAATGCTACTTTAGTTGGATTGAATAAAGCGTTTTGCAAATCAATAAATTCCATCTATCTATCTATCTATCTATATCTATCTATATCTATCTATCTATCTATACTATATATTATGGCAATTCAAAAAAAATTTCTTGCCACATAAGCACTTGGAGGATCCACAATTTGCCAAGTTGGACAACTTTTTTACAAACAAAAAATTAGTTATTAATGTATTTATGGAGCTACCTCTCTCTTCTTTAATATTTCCATTTTTTTATCCAATTATTCTTTTTCATTTATCCATTAATTTTTTTTTGTCTTTAATAATAAGTTACATGTTAATAAACTTAACCAAACACACATAAATAATAATTTTTTGTTAAATAAATAAAATATAAATAAGAAAACAGAGAGTGACATATATCACATTTCTTTAAATAAAAAAAACCTGATTAAACCTTATGAAATAAATTTTCTACTCATTTTTACTAAAATTCAATGATAAGTTACATTTTGATGAAAAAAATAAACAAACATACATATAAACAATTATGTTTTAATCGATTAAACCAAAATATATATGAAAAGAGAGAAAATAAACATTTGACATTCAATTACCTTTTAAAAATAAACTATATTACTTTATATTTTGTTACAATGAAACACTCTCTTATTCGTACAGTATATATCTATAAAATAAAACTGTATTATTCAGCAAAATGTCAGAGTATAATCTTGATCGAGTAGTTACAGTTATTTATTTTAAAAAAATTCTTATTCATTCAGATCATGTTCTACCTTAAATTCCTCAAATGAATAGGAATCGCATATGCAATAATTTGATAATGTGACCTAAGTTCAAATTAATAATATTTGCTCTATATCCTGTTGATTGAGCAAGCTCTATTGAGGTTCTAAGTCGTATGCTAAGAAATTTTCTTTCAGACTTGGAGTTATCTTCGAAGATTATAAATCAAAAATTTCAAAATGACTTAAGTATGATTGTTGACGAACTTTGACTTCATACCCTAGGATGAGACACAAAATTCATTGAAAAATAATAGATGTGAAGGTTAGAAAAATCTTTGTTCAGAATCTACGATAATCATCACGTTTCATCAAATACTGACCTAGGCATTTACCAAATAAAGGTTGGTAATTTTTATTAAGATCGTCAATTGGGATAAACATATTTTTCCAGGAATCAAGTATCTTTATCCAATAATCTCAACTCTCAAAATTGGTTGTCAGTTCGTCTAGACTCGAGAAACACGAATTAATATATGTTGTATAAGATAATAAGTTAATGCAAATAATCAAATGAAATACACTGATATTGTTCAAATGATAAGACATTTTAAATGCACTTAAAATATTTGTGTATTGGAGACACTCTTTATCAATTATTAATATATAAGTGATAAAATCTTTGAAAATTACACATTCAACGATCATGTTAAGACCAAAATCCTCGATAGTGTATGTGAGTGCCTTAGATTGAGATTCTAAGCCAACATATAAACAATGACCACCGATTGAGGTTTAGTATAAACTTCAAGAATTAACAATTGATACATATTGTATAATATACTAAATTTAAGTGTCTGGATAAAAAAACAAACATCCAAAATAAAAATGAGTCGATATTAGAGAATTTAGTCATCATGAGGGCTACGGTGTGTGTCAAGTTTCAATATGGATGAATAAATCCAATAATGAAGTATCTTTACTAAGAATTTCTCACTAAAAAGTCGTAATTTTTACAACATTGGTCGAGAGTTCGTCCAAACTCGAGGATCATGAATGTGTATTGGATTCCCAACCCCTTTCGAGGGCTAAATACCTCTGATCACAACCATAGGTGATAAAGTAGAATGAAAAAGAAGCAAAAAAAGCAAAAAAGAACATAACCTCCAATACGATGAACATAATAAAACCATATTGAGCTATGATACTGTCATCCCTACCTTTTTATTCTCCATAAAGGGGATAGTGGGAGAGGATAAGAAATAAATAGTAGGATCTTAGTATTTGCCTCTTTATATATTGCATATCGAACGATAGACAACCCCAATGATTGTCTGGCGTTATGGCCTATGGGGGTAAAAGTGAGATCTCTAGATAATTTTGAGTCTAATATACATATACACACACATATATACATGTGTGTGTGGTTCAGGTTGACGTACGCTGAACCATACATATACACACATACATATATATACATGTATATGTAATATCAATGTATATTATACTTTATTTAACTCAAGATACGATAGAAGATAGGAATTACGAAGTATGTGCATAAATTAGAGGTTACAGAATTAGGGACTAGAGTTCACCTATTAGAGGATAGGGTATAGTATCATGCCCCAAAAAACTCCGGTTAATTCAGGTCTAAATAGTAAAACTCAATGTTCGTATGGTAGTATGAACACAAGAGTATAGCGTACTCCTGGCGCACGCTAGCTTGAACTATATATATGTGTGTATGGTTCAGGTTGACGTACGCTAAATATTAGTGTTTTGGTTGACAAATTTTGACATAAGTTCTAAATGGGACGTGACAACGACATAATTTATGATTCAAAAACCGAAGCATTACAAGTGAGTGTGCTAAATATTGAAAATTTCAATATAGACATACTACAAACTCTGTTATAAAATATTTAGAAGATCCAAAATGATGTAATCATATAAATTATAAAATAAATCTCTCCGGCCAATGGTCTGGGTAAAAAGCTAGTGTTGATTTCTAAGAGAGCTAATTCAATTATGAACGATTTTTTTTTTGGTGGAGTTCAAGAACTATTTCCAATTATATGCATGAAATGTGGAACTAACGGGTTCCTTTGATCGCCTCACTTCAAACTCGATCAGTTTAACTAAACGTTGTAATACTTGACTGTTCTGTTTGATTTGAGCAAATATGATCGAATTACGTCACACTTTTTGATGTGATGGCTACTTTGTCCAATCCTACAAAATTTGATGGCTATGAATGAAATTTGATCCGCTTCCCCTATTGGGTTTGCCGTCCAAGAAACTGAATCCGGAAGAAGAAAGGAAAGACAAAAACAAAAGCGGACCCAAAAAAAAAAAAAAAAAAAAAAAACAGAAGCCCGAAATTAAACCCGAGCCGGAGTTCCGAGTCCAATCGGGCAGAAGCTCCAGAGAGAAAGAGACGAGAGAGCTTCTTCTTCTCTTTGCCCACTCGGAACAAGACACGCTCTCTCTCCCTCTCTCTTTCTCTCGGTCGGAGCTCAAAAACTGAAAAACCCTTCCGCCATTTTCCCCAATCCCCATCCCTTCCCTTAACCCCCCTTCTCTCGAGCTCCTTCTTCCATGGACGAAGACGACGAATTCGGAGATCTCTACACCGATGTCCTCCAGCCTTTCTCCAACTCCGCTCTCCCGCCGCCACAACCGCTGCTTCAGCTCCAGCCGAAACGGCCTTCTCCTCCGCCGCCGCCCGCGTCGTCATCCGTCGATCTCAGTCCCGACGATGATGCCGAGATTCTGTACGGCGCATCGGGGCGTGCTGATCAAACCCTAGTGAATTCCTCCCCCAATTCGAGGCCCGATGGGAAGCTCTCGGTCGTGGTCGGCGGCGGTTCCGATTCAAGATTGGGGAATAATAAGGGTCCTGAGGCGAGGGGGGTTTCAGCCGATTTTCAATCTGGGGAGCCGGATAATGATGTCGATTTTGATATCGAGGAAGGTGGGGATGCTGGGGGTCTGCTCATTCCCGGACTTGGGGTTGATATGGTGGAGGACTCGAAGGAGAATGGAGCGGCGGCGGGTGATGATGGCATGGGTGGCAGCGGCCGAGGTTTTAAGGAGGGGGGAGGTGACGAGTGGGAAGAAGAAGACAGTGATAGTGAAGACGATTTGCAGATAGTGTTGAACGATAACGGGCCGATGGGAATGGAGAGAGGCATGATGGGCGATGGAGAAGAAGACGATGACGACGGCGACCCTTTGGTGATTGTGGCAGATGGAGCCCCGAACCAGGGAATGGAAGAGCCGGATTGGGGCGTCGGAGATGAAGCGGCGGCTGCTGCTGGGGGAGAAGGAGGGGACAGGAAGGAAGGAGGAGAGGCAGCTGGGAAAGGAAATGCAATGGTGACTGGGGCGAAGATTGGATATAACAATCTCGGATATCATCACACATTTCATTCCCCGTTTAAGGTCAGTTTTGATCGTTGTTGTGTTTATGTATGTAGACAAAGGAAAAGGGATTATGAAAGTGTTGTTCTTTCTCATGGTTTGATGAAAGTGTAGAAATGTAAATTGGTGTACATACTGTCATGAACCTGTCTATAGCTCATCATTTCTCTAAATGTACTTTTTTACACTGGAAGATATGAATGAGAATTGTGAATCTTTACTTATTAATGCTCAAAAAGATCTTACAATGTGTAACATGGTTTGGATGTTTGGGTTGAGTCATTGATATTCAGAAGTTCTCTATTCACTATCAGAAACCTCCCGGGACATCTCCAAGCCACCTACGCTGAAAGCAATATACAATCCAGCCAATCTAACACTGTCCTTCCTGAAAACCTTTGCCTTTTGACAGTCTTAGGTGTACTTATGCCAAAGAGTTAGCTTCTCTGTTAGTGCGATCATTAATGTCGACACCATGA